CCTGAAGGAAGAAGTCCAAGGTACATTGAAGGAATTGACAAAGAACAGGGGACCAGGAACAGATGAAATACAAATTGAATTCTTGCAAGAAGGGGAGGTGGCACTGGAGGCATTCATTAACCTATGACACGAGTTTTGGAAGACAACTACCAGGCTAAAAGGAAGGAATGTGTCCATTCCAAAGAGAGGAGACCCAATGTAATGCAGACATCATCAGACAAAATCATTGATACCCCATTTGCCTGGGGTTTTAAAACTTTAATTAAAGTTTTATTAAAGATAATGCAAAAACAGGACCAACCATACATTGACAGAGAACTTCCAGAGGTTCAAGCTGGATTCAGAAGATGTTGTGGAATGAGGAATATATCATTACTGACGTCAGCTGGATCTTGGCTGAAAGCTGAGAATACCAAAAAGATGTTTACCTGTGCTTTATTGACTACACAAAAGCTTTCAATTGTGTAGCTCATGACAAACTATGGACAACATTGCAAAGTATGAATATTCTGAAACACTTAATTGTGCTCGTGAGGATCCTGCACATAGACCAAGAGGCAGTTGTTCGAACAGAACAAGGGAACACTGATTGGTTTAAAATTAGGAAAGGTATGTGCCACAGTTGTATTATCTCCCCGTATTTATTCTATCTGTATGCTGAACAAATAATCCAAGAAGCTGGATTATATTAAGGAAAACCTGGCATGAAGTTTGGATGAACACAACCTGAGATATGCTTGCTGAAAGCGAAGAAGACTTAAAATATATACTAATGAAGATCAAAGACCACAGTCTTTGGTATGGGTTGCACCTCATTGTAAAGAAACCAAAAATTCTTACCATTTGACCAGTAGACATCATCCATATAAATGGAAACAAGATTGAAGTTGTCAAAGACTTCATTTTGCTCGGATCTACCATCAACACTCATGGAAGCAGCAGTAAAGAAATTAAAAGACATATTGTATTGGGCAAATATGCTGCACACGACCTCTTTAAAATATTGAAGAGTAAAGATATCAGTTTGAGGGCTAAGGTACGCCTAACCCAAGCCATGGTATTTTCAATAACCTAATATGCATGTGAAAGTTAGATAGTGAATAAGGAAGATCATAGAAGAATTGATGCATTTCAGTTATGGTGTTGGAGGAGAATATTGAAAGTACCATTGACTGCAAAAAGAACAAACAGATTCTGTGTTGGACTAAGTATAGCCAGAGTGCTTCTTGGAAGCTAAGACAGCCAGACTTCATCTCTCATACTTGAGACATACTGTCAGTAGGGACCAGCCACTGGAGAAGGATATCATGTTTGGTAAAGTGGAGGGTAAGAGGAAAACAGGAAGACCCCCAACGAGATGGACTGGCACAGTGGTAGCATTAATGGGCTAATGTAGCAACGATGATGAGATTGGCCCAGGACCAGGCAGTGTTTCATTCTGTTGTGCATAGAGTCACTATAAGTTGGTACTGACTCGATGGCACTTAACAACAACAACAATTACAATGCCTGCAGAGTTACTTATATTTTAAAATTAAAGATAAAGCTCAAAAGAAATAAATCCCCATTAAAAACAGTGTGTATAATGCTATAATGTAAGCCTTGGACTGCTAGCTGAAAGGCCATTGGCTCAAACCCACCAGCTGCTCACTGGAAACTCTATACAGGGTTGTTATGGGTCAGAACTGACTAGATGGCAGTCTACAACAAAAACAGTGTTGGTGTAAATACCTAGAGATAGAGTGATGGACTTTCTGAGAACTTTCAAATCACATCATAAAAATAAATATATCTCCAAGGGTGAATTTGAAAAAACTGCAAATGTTCACACAATGCACACCCAAACATACACATTGTTGTTATTGTTGTTAGGTGCCATTGAGTCGGTACCGACCCATAGCGACCTTGTGCACAGCATAACAAAACACTGCCCAATCTTGGGCCAACCTAACTACTGTTGCCACACTTGAGTCCATCAATGCTGTCACTTGGACAATCCATCTCATTGGGGGGTCTTCCTCTTTTTTTCTGACCCTCTACCTTACCAAACATGAAATCCTTCTCCAGTGATTGGTTCCTCCTGAAAATATGACCAAAGTATGAGAGACCAAGTTTGGCCATCTTGGCCTCCAATGAGCACTCTGGCTGCACTTTTTCCAAAACAGATCTATTGGTTCTTTTGGCAGCCCATGGCACTTTCAATATTCTCCTCCAATACCATAATTTAAAAGCATCAATTCTTCTACGGTCTTCCTTATTCACTGTCCAGCTTTCGCATGCATACAAGGTTATTGAAAATACCATGCCTTGGGTCAGGCACACCTTAGTCCTCAAGCTGACATCTTTGCTCTTCAACACTTTAGAAAGGGCTTGTGCAGCGGATTTGCCTAATGCAATATGCCGTTTGATTTCTTGACTGCTGCTTCCATGAGTTTTGATAGGCTGGTAGTTTCAAACTGCTGACCTTAAGGTTAGCAGTCCAATTCACAACCACTATACTACCAGATGTGGCTAACAACATACACATATTCACACATAAATGTCAGATGCAGAAAAATAAGCACACAGGCAGCAGTGCGTATATACTACATTTATTTGTAATCTTAAAAGAAAAAAAAATGTTGATTTTAGAAAGGAAAAAAAAAAAAAAAGTGCCATCGATTCAGTTCCAACTCAAAGGAACCCTATGCACAACAGAGCTAAATACTACTCAGTCTGGCACCATCCTCACAATTATTGTTACGTCTGAGACCAATTGCTTATGCTACTGTGTCAGTCTATCTTTGGCGGTCTTTTTTTTTTGGCTCTCCACTTTCAATAGGGAGGGAAATAAAATTACAACAGCATCAAGAGAGTAGTATTGAAAGGGTTATAGGTTGGTGTCTATTTCAAATAACTAGTTCTTAAGAATGAAGTGCGATGACAAAACAAAATAAAATTTCTAAATACAATATTGTTGTTGATTCATTAAAACTTGTATTGAGTAATCCGATTCAAGTTAAATGTTATAATAATTAATCTATTGGAATCCTGTATGGCACTGTAGGATAAGCATTGGACAGTTAACAACTACCAACTACAAGGTTCAAATCACCAACTACTCCTTAAAAAACCCTATATAGGATCGCTATGAGGCAGAACTGATTTGGTACAATTAGCAACAACAATAATCAACCTATTATAAAATATAGATTATAATTTAAATGCTGAGTGTTTAACTTTTAGAATCAATTCTTTGAAATAAATGACTTTTATCTGTTATACTCCTTTAGAGAGTCTAGTCAATGAAGCAGCCATTGCAATTGTAATTATTTAATGTGAAACACCCATTACAGTTATAATTATTTAATGTGAATTCACTATGTCAATCACATGATCTATTTATTTTCTTCTTTCAAATTAGTCAATTAAATGTTATGACTTGAAATATCCAAATATATATTATCAGTGACAAACTTGAAGGAAATAGTATATTTATTAAATTATAGCTGATGAGATTTCATGCAAATAAATAATAGAAATGTTGAATAATATCACTCTTTTAATGATAGCTGCAATGTGGAGCAACTATGATCTTTTCCCTCCATCATAATATTTAGTAAAATGTACTGAAACTAAAATACAAAACATTTTGTAATAGTAAAGCTACAAGATCTAAATGTGTATAAGTTTACCATTTCTTTTGACTAGTTAGATTCTGTCAAAATTTACAAACAACTAACTCTTTACATTTACATCTTGGGTGTTAAAATTAATCCATTATTTATTTAGAATTATTCACCTTTTTAATATTAAAAGCATTAATTTATGAACAGTTTACTCACAGTTCAGAAATCAAGTTTGCAGTTATTTCTTCCTATTGTTAAGTGTTAAAAGTTGTTAAAAGTGTTAAAAATTGCTGTTAAGTGCCACTGAATCCGTTCCGACTCATAGCAATCCTGGATAGGGTTTCTAAGACTGTAAATATTTGCAGAAGCAAAAAGCCTCATCTTTCTCCCAAGGAGTGGCAGTAGGCTCCAACCACTGACCTTGTGGTTACCAGTCCAGTGCTTATCCTACAGAAGCACTGTGGTCCCTTTGATGAAAGGAAGGATATTAAATTCTCTGATGTTGGGCTTAGAAAAAGAGGAGGGGATACTGCTGTCTAGGAAGTTTTTCCAACTCCAGAACATTAATTAAACCCTATGCCCACAAAGGAGGTGAAAATACACTATGGGTTATTTTCATTGGAAAAAAACCATAAATTACAAATTGCATGCATTTCTATGTCTATTGAAGCATCATGATTACATAGCTAAACTTAAACTACAAATATAGAATAGAGTATTCAAAACCGTAAACCAATCATTTCACATTAACCAGCATGTCTAAAATGTCCCATTAAAAAATTGAAAATCATTATCTTTCTTAGGTAATATTCTTAAAATGCACAAGGTTATTACAGAATTATTTTGTTATACTTGCTGTGTTTTTACACAAATCACACTTGCCTTGTACATTTGTTCCCTCCTATCAGGATATATTTTTCATGCCAATTCTTTTTACAACATCTTACATCCATACACACAAATTAAACATAGACTTGTAAGATAACTTCAAGATTTTGTACTTTTAAATGGTTTGTTTTTCAGTTATACAATTTAAAATATCAATAGTTAGGTACTATGAAGATGGAAAATTGGTAAGATAATAGCATAAAAGAAAGTTGTGGAGGCAGATAATTTTTATTGTATGAGAAGATAAAATAATCTGGCCAAGATATCTGAAAATTAACCAAAAATAAACTGAACTGTGAATTACGTGATCAAAGGAAAATGATCTCTTTGATCGCCTCTGTTTAGCATCCTAATATCACATTTCAAGAATTAATGTACTTTGGAAAGAAGCACATAGCACTTGACCTTAATTATTGGGTAATAAAGTATGTGAACATATACTAGATATTTGATTAAATCACTGTGATTTAAAGGTTCCAAAGATAAAGATGGGCTCTGAGCTACCTCATCAGCATCCAGGGCTGTCAGTTGCATAATCTTAGAGCCATCTCCAATGTTCTCCTCCACAGTGAGATCGAGCATGTCTGTTGGAAATACAGGTGGATTGTCATTGATATCTTGAAGTGTTATTTCCACCTACAAAGAGAAAAATAAACAAAGCATGAATTACCCATTTGTCTATAAGAAAGCATTTAAAATACATACCAAAAATTGATTCAACAATGTCTAAAATATGGATGAGTTTTTGCATGTAACATCCAAACAAAAATAGTTGTGAAATCTTTAAGGACAGCATAAAATCTAAGTAGAGATCCTTTGACTTGCTGAATAGTAACTAATATTAATGCTTGTCAAGGACTTCAAACAAGAAAATGCCCAATGATAAACTGTCATTTTAATCCCAAATTTGTGCACCAGTGAAGAATTAACAAACTTTGGGACCCTCCATCAGTCAACCATTAAATGCCACTTTGCCCACAGAGCAGGTAGTATAATATTCTTTTTTGAAATTTTTACACATCAGCAACTAATATCTGGGAAGAAAAAAAGTTCCCATTTTGTTTTAAGACACGTTTAAGATTTTTCCCTTTAAAGTCAACCCTCAAACTTTTACTAGGGAATAAGGGATACATACATATTCATTTCTTTCTATTCTTATTACTATCAGTACTTCTTATTTGTGAATAAAGCTAAACTATTATTCCTTTCAGATGTAGTATTTATGTAGCCTGAAAATATTAACAGCTTTGTTTGAAAGATCCTAGCCAGAGCTATTTGTTTGTTTCCCTATCTAAGAAAAATTGTTTAGAAAGAAGGCTTTGTAAAGTTTAAATAGTAACTTCAAACCATGTGTTTTCTCTTTTAAGCCAGGTGCTAAAAGCTGAATCTCTAATAAGTAAAGGGAAGACAGATGCTAATAAAAATGAAAGTTTCCCCAGTTGTATCATAAATTAAGTTATGGAGAAAAACCTCATCTAGACATTAAGCTATGATATAACCGGACATTTTTCTAAAGGATGAAATTTCATCTTTTATAGCTATGTTATAAAACTCCAACAGTTATAAAGGTGCTAAAATGAATATGAGAAAAAATGTTGCTCTTAAGTGTTGTGGAGTTAGTTCCGACTCATAGCAACCCAGTATAGGGTTTATGAGAAGCAACCGGTGGGTTTGAACTGCTGACATTGCAGTTAGCAGTCCAGTACTTGTACTACAACACACTAGGAGTCTTATAAGAAGAAAGTAGGGAGCAAAATAATTTTATTTTTATTTTTCCAGGGAATTGGAGGGGTGGCAGCAATTAGAAAGGATTATTATTATTTTCTCACAAGGAGTGGATGAAGACTATAGAAGCAAATCTGGTTTGAACCACAAGGTCAATGTTTCAAGTTCACCAGCTGCTCCTCAGAAACCCTATATAGGTCATTATGAGTTGAAACTGAATCAACAGCACGTAACAACAACAACAGACAACTAAATGGATGAGCAATTGATTTTAAAAAAATTCAGGAAAACAATATACAAAATAAATGATAAATAATTGTATGCCTCTAGCTCCACCTTTCAGTAAGAATTTTGATCCTACGCACATGGATCAAATTAGTCTAAAAAATGGTTAAGACAGACAATCTCTGCAGTTAGAATTCTGCCACCTCTGGTTTTGGTTAGCAATAGTCATTCTCTACACCACTTCCTTTAAGAAAATATCCAAAATAGCCACGACTACAGCATATAAAAAACATGTCCAACTTCACTGAAATGTACTGATCACGAGTTTTAGAATCAGAAAATCTGGAATTCACATTTTGGCCCTGCCACTTCCTACATGTGGCACTGTGGGTTAATGCACTGGACTACAAAGTAGGTTAGAACCATAAGGTCAGCAGTTCAAGCTCACCAGCCGCTCCTCAGGAACCTATACAGCGTCACTATGGATCAGAACTGACTTGACGGCACTTAACAACAACAACTTGCTAGATGGATAAACATGGGCATGTAATTTCTTTTAGGTTAAGTCTCCTCATAATAAAATTGGTACGATGTGTCTCAGAGTATATTATGAAGACTAGACTTTGATGATGTAGTTAAAATTTTTCACATAGTTTCTGGCACTGAGGGATATGCTCAATAAAAAATAGAGGTCTTAGTTTTCAAACAAGCAGACTCGTTTTAGTAGTTCCTTAGAGTTAGGGATAGTCAGTAGTAATGGAGTTCAATAAATCAGAATCCAACAAAATCTGTTGTTCATTTTATTGAATATACACTAAGCTTCCTTTTATGAAATGCTTTGGAATAGACTGGAAGACAACTGGCTTCATTTGGGTTTTTTGGAATAAATACACAGTTTCTGTCAAGCTATTCTGACTCACAGTGATCTTATGTATTTCAGAATAGAATTGCACAAATAGTTTTTCGTGGCTCTGACCTTTGAGAATTGCACATACAATTCCCAAAGAATTGAGAAGTAAATCACCAGGCCTTTCTTCTGAGGAAACGCTGGGTGAATTTGAACTATCATCCTTTTTCAGTTTATGCCAAATATTTATTTTTACATTTACATATACACAAATGTAAGAGGCAGAAAACCTCTGAGTCTGAGTATATGGTTATTAATGTTGCTCGAAATGAGTAAATAGGTTTGTATGACTACATATGTGATTTCATATATGTAAGTATGTTGTTGTTAACCCTAACCCTGTATAGGGTTCCTGAGGAGCAGCTGGCATGTTTGAAACACAGAGCTTTTGGTTAGAAGTTCAGTGCTTATCCTATAGTGATACAACAGGACTTCACATGTGGGCATAGTCCATAATGTATAAAATAAGCTAATAAATAACTTATTTCAATGCCTCATAATTAATCTCATAATTTTAAGCTTGGCAGAATATATTTTAAATCCTAAATTTTCTTTCATCCATAACTTTATGACTATTTGAAAACCAAAATACTGAAATGGTGTGTGTGTGTGTGTGTGTGTGTGTGTGTAGCATATAATTGTATGAATGTATTTGGGAAAGAATTGTATATATGAGTGTGTCAATGCAAGTGTGTATGATTGAATATCCATGTAACTATGTAGGCAGACAGTTATATTGAAAGTAAGAAGATGGAAATCAATTAACTATATCACAGATGATAGTACCTCACACTAGATTCCTCATTGTAATTGGTAAATTGGTATATTGAGCAGACTTATTTCATATTTTAATAATTATAAAAATATTACTGACATATGATGTGTCAGATATATACATTGTTGTTGTTGTTAAGTGCCTTAGAGTTGGTTCTGACCAATAGCAACCCTGTATAGGGTTTCCGAGGAACAGCTGGCAAGCTTGAAGTGCCCATCTTGAAGTTCAAACTGCCTTTGCAATTCAGTGTATTAACTCACAGCGCCATACTAGGACTCCAGGTATATAGATGTTGTTGTTGTTGTTATGTGCCGTGGAGTCGTTTCCGACTCATAGCGACCCTGTACAGGGTTTCCGAGGCTGTAAATCTTAACGGGAGCAGAAAGCCTCATCTTTCTCCCGTGGAGCAGCTGGTAATTTTGAACTGCTGACCTTGCTGTTCGCAGCCCGATTCGTAACCACTACGCTACCAGAGCTCCTTAGGTATATAGATAGATACAGTTAATTATAACCCATAGGATAAGTACTACCATAATTCCCATTTTATAGATTTAGAGACGAATTAACTAATGTAGAAAAAGTTTATAGAATTAACCAGTGTCACAGAGAGAGTTAGCTTTCTTGACCTCCATGCAAATCTCTCTTTGATAAGTATATGTGTGTTCAAGAAATACAACAAATCATATTGGAAACTATATGGCATAAGTATGTATAGTTTTAGAAATGTGCATATTATACCTGTCTTAAACCCGGATCATTTTCATTAAAATTAACTAGCTATCTGATATGGGGTCAGCCAATATATTTCTCTGTTGCAATTAAAAAACAGTACTAGGTAATACAGAAAGGTAGAACTAAAAGTCTTCGATTTCTTAAATCCTCTGATATGTTGCCCAATTCCATAATTTCAGGTTCATTAATTAGAATAAATGTCATTAAATATTGTTGAATTTTAAAAAATAAACATTTCACAATATATCTAGGATCAATCTGTTGTAAATACAGATCTAGTCAATCATTATGCTTTGCTATGTGCAAATGCCCACCACTCATCTGTCAGTTTGTCATACTGTGCTTACTGGTTTGCATG